TAAGCGGGTGTTTAACCACTTTGATCAGCCTGCTTAGGGACCGAGGGTGAGCGGTATATTCTAAACGTTCAAAAACGTCATTCTTAACAATAATGATTATACATTTTTTATGAGTTCCAAGTAATTTTTGTCGGATGACAGCAATTTTAGTTTGATAATGAAAACTAATATTTTTAAAAATTAGTTATAAATTTAATTCATTTAAAATTACTGCTAGAAACTCCTTTGAAAGTACGTAACAGAAAACTTTCAAAATTTTATTATGAATGGTTTTTTAAAATGAAATTTGAGACATCGTTTTGATTAAATGGGATTTATTGTGAATAAAATTAGGATTACGAATTTAGATATCGATTTTGCATTGTTATCAGTTTTATTTTCTGGAAGAAAAAAAAATTTGAATTGCCCTGTCATTTTTGAAACTATAGTTTATTAATTTTTCTAATCGGTATTAATAATTTAATAAGTTATCGATGATTATGGAATTATTAGATATTTTATTGATATTTCTAAAAACTAATCACAAAATACTGCAAAGCAAACATTAAAAGTAACAGATAATGACGGATTAAATTTTTTCATAGATAATAAGATAATTTTTTTTCCCCAATGCCCGCCTGGGGAATGACTTACGCCATACAGGCACCTGAAGGGCAGATTTGTTGGCCACTCTTTCAGAGGCACCCTATTAGGTGGGCCAACGTTGCTCCCACAGTAAGGACATATAGTACAGAGAAGGAAAGAAAAATCATGACTTGCCCGGGATTCGAACCCAGAACCTTTCTGATGCAAGGGCAGTTCCCTAACCCCTACACAGGCTGGTCGGCGATAATAAGATAATTGATTTCTAAAAATAAAAATAAAAAATATTAATAAAGATATTCTTTTGATTCAAAGTAATTTTTGATAATGATTTTGTGTAAAATCACTTGACAATGTTTTTGAATATGGGAAAAGACCACGTCATTTGGAAAAGAAAAATGATATATTTCTTGATTTATTTCCTCTAAAGATTATAAACGTATGTAATATATAAAACAGTGTAAAATTAATTAACTTCTTGCAGTGTTGATATTATGGAACGTTCTTTAAAGAGTAAAAATTAATTTACTTTGTGTAATTCACAAAAAAAAAGAGTGCTCATTTGACTGAAAGTCACGTGTCTAAGTCTAGAGGTCAGTGGATGATAATAAAAGCTTTTATTTATATAAACCAATTTCTCCAAACGTTATTATCAGACAGAACACGCGCATCTACATTATAACATGACCCAACAATAAAAGTTTATTTTTATGCGCTTTTAAGAATGTTTTCTTTTTGAAACGTCAGCAACAAAAACCAGTTGATAAATATGATTCTATAAACAAGTAGTGTAAAACAAGTAGTTGATAAATAAACAAACTAATACAAAACAAGTATAATTATGTGTTTGGTAAGTCTGATTATTCTTTTACTGCCGGCGAACGATAGTTGGAACAAAAATCTTTTGATTTTTCAGTGCCCCAAAAAAGCCTCCTTAAATATGCAGACGAAAATTAATGTCACTGTTCCAAGAATAATTGATTTGCCTATTCTCGTATTTTTAAGCTTTCATTTTTCAAGAATTTTGAATAATTTAAAATGAATAAATAAAACAAATGGGTGTGCATCTAAAAATCCACATTTTTTTCCGACTATTTTAATAAATCTTGGTTTATAATGCGAATTGAAATTTATGGAAACATTTAAGCTTAATCATTTTGAGCTTTCGTTTGAAAAGTACAAAAACTACTTGGAAAATTGCTTGAAACTTTTTAAATTTCTAATATATTCAAATTAGACTTTTTTCATTAGTAGCCAATTACCATTGACTACAGTCCCGCAGTGGACTGATCGTTAAGACACGGTTCCCAGCAGATCACCGAAGTCAAGCATCACTGGCTACGGTCAGTGTGCGGGTGGGTGACCACTTGGATCAGTCTGCGTAGGGACCGAGGGTGTGCGGTATTGGTCCTCGTTAAACTGTGCTACCGTAAAGTGCTCGACTTCGCGCGCAGGTCGTCGGGCTACCGAAGCGGGGGTGCCATCCCCTCCGCAGAGGATCAAAATTGTGATGGCATGTCTTCGGATCATCCTCAGGGATGTTTCCCAGACCGTCGCCAATAGCCCATTGTGCAGCTCTAGTGCGACGTAAATGAACTACAACAACAACAACCATTGACTACAAAATTATGATTTCTTTTCTTCAAATTTTTTTCTTTTATTTTAATGAATATCATCATTACATATTTTTTACTCATATCCAAATACTCATATCTTTTTTACGCAGTTTTTAATGAAGTTTTTTCAAATTTCAAAACAATATTTTTTTTTTTTTTTTTTAAATTTCTCTAAAAAATTTGTTTAATTTAATTGATTATTTTTAATAATAGTAGCAAAAAAAAAACGTAAAACAATTTTTTTTTTTTAAATAAAAATGCCCGTATTTGCATGAATATTTAAGCTAGTTTTAGGAAATTTTATGCCTTTATAGTCATAATAACAACCAAAATAATCGATACAAGTTACAAGCTTGATTTTCTGTCATTCAAGAATACTTGTTTCCATTTGTAATTTATTTTCAAATCTTTAAAAGGTAAATATAAAAAATGCATGAACACTTTAAACTGAATTCAAACCACATGGTTCATAATTCCTTTTTAGAGAAATTTAATAACGCTCAATTCTTTAAACAGAAACGGAAACAAAATTTCTAAAAGAGTGTCTTTTAATAAAATTGTTTAAAAACGGAAGGTCGTCACAGCTTCGAAACATATGTTGTTGATTATGGATAAATTTTAAGTCTCTCTCTTTTTAAACAAACGTAGCTTTCTCAACAAAATATATTTCTAAAAAAACATTTTCTTAATTTTTATTTGTTTATTTAGAGAAAATATATTTTATTTTGTGTCTGATTAACTAATTAAGCCTTTGCGATCAAATGAAGTTTATACACAGCTGTTATAGTTGTTGATATTAATAATCAGAATAGATACGCAAAAATTAACACTTAGGGTAAGTTGCTGTCATACTTGTCGGAATTAATACTTGTTGAATGAACCTTTGTGGTAATTATATCAAAGCTTTGATACTGTTAAATAAGCCTTTACTACAGACTGCAAAGAAATAGAACCGATTTGACAAACATAGCTTTATGAACCTATAAAAATATTTAGGACAGTTCTTTTAATTTTTTTTTTTATTTAAAGAAAATATGTTTTTGAGTCACATTAATTAATTTTGGAATAGCTATATTTGAATAAAATATTCTAACTTAGTTGGAAATTGAATTATTTATTTATCTTTTTGGTCGCTTACATTTAAAAAAAAAATAGTTTTATTTGAAATTAATGCTGTTTAATAAAAAATTAAACATTTTCCTAACAGAGTAGAATTTTTATTACTGAGCAGGAATCAAACAAAATGGAAACTTCGAATGATATGCTTTAATAATGGTATGTTAATCATTGATTAAGTTGTGGCAACTAATCGTAACACTTTATTTTTATTACTTAGACTGTTAACAAATTAAGTTTTCTTGCTTTTTAACAATTAAAAAAAAAGGCTTTAAAAAAATCTTAATAATGCACCATGGTATCAGAGAATCTTTATTTTTTCCAAAAATTAAATTATCGTTTTCTCAAAATGATAATAGCTGTAGCCGTAACTGCTGCTGGATGGAGAAAGGAAATGGAGAGTCTAATAAGGAAGCTCATCCAGTGTCTGGTCACCCATGGCAACCGAGAGGTCGTTCCGATTGGCGAACTTATCTCCAATACCGACGATTTCAAATATCAATGAAATGAATTTTTTCAACGTAAAATTTTTAACAATCGTGATTTCTTAGCTATAACATTTTTTTCATTGATTGTTATTATCCATTTCAGTTGTGCTTACTTAAATTGAATTCCTACAAAGTTTAATCAATTAAATATTTTAACAGTTATGATTTACTAGCATTTTTAATTGATAATCAAACAGTCAGGTTTACTTGAATTAAATTCTTACCCTATAAATTGTAATACATTGGAAAATTTTTAATATTCATGACGAATTTTTAATTATAAAGGTTTTTCAATTGATTGTTTTGGGTTATCGTTTCAAAAGATCCATTGTAAAATGTGTGAAGATTTCTTTGCTATAAAATGTTTTTATTCATTATTATCTATTTTTCAAAGAGTTCTATGCACTACAAAAATTTAATATCAAAATCAATACTGATAATCTTTACACTGCAAGAATTAAATTTTATCAATTTCAAAATTGTTAAAAATCATGACGCTTTTTTAGTTATAAAATCTTTTTTCATTGCTTGTTGTGGAAGATCATGAACGGGCATCGAATTCCATAATCTTGAGTAACATTTTCAACGGGTATTTTTAATCATTCATTGGTTAGATTTCATGAATTGAGTAAGAATTTTAGGGGAAAAACATGAAAGCTTATTATAAATCTTTTCTTCTTGGTATTATAACTATTATTGAATGAATTAACTCTAAGTGCTGTTTTTTAAAATACATTATTATTTTTTAACCATAGGTGCTGGTGAGTGTTTATTTGTATTGCGATATATCGTTTGGAGATATTTCACAATATTTAGCAATATTTCTCTTTTCGACTCGTTTTTATTATATTTTTTATTATTAGTTTTAAATTAAATAGCATTTTCCTAATTCGAATTGGAAAAAAAATTCCGCAACATATTTTATGAATCATTATTTAAAAATGAATAGTTCATAAATATGTAATAATCGATACATTAAATGAACGCTCAACAATTGTCCAGCGTTTTCTTGAATCTGTGAGGAAAGAAGTTAGTTTATTCGTTGTAGTTTCGTGAGAAGTCGAGAGAGCTGTATTAAAATACTTTTACTTTTTTTAGAGTGCTAATCGTAAAAGCTGTGTTAAGTTCACGGTCGCTCCTGTGTTGCCTTTAGCAGTCGAGTGTATGCAGGTCGACTGAGAAACAACAGCGTGAGGAGGTCAATGTCGCAGTCACAAGTAGCAAGTCAACTGTTCAACGCGGACCATCCATCGAAGTAGGTGGGTTCATTTCGAAGTGGGAGTTTCTGTCGAGGTAGGCATGTTCACATCACGTCCGGGTCACCAATGTGAACCGTATGTTATCGACAATGTCAACCTTCATTTATGAAAAGGTACCCCAACATAGAATCGAGTTAATATGTCTTATATGCCAGTGAATTGGAATTATATCTTTGTAATGGTAGACACATTACCTCCACCAGAATTATAGCTGTGATAGAATTCGATGAATGGGATACCACTAGTTGATTTATTGCTGTTTTGTGGGAAAGAGCTGTATTAAGATCACAGTACTTTTGAGTGCTGATCGGGAGAGCTGTATTAAATTCACGGTCCTGATCTCCTGTGTTGCCATTCGAAGTCAAGGGTACACAGGCCTGTGTGATCGAGACTGAGTAGCAACAGCATGAGGAGGTAGATAATGATAGCCACAAATAGCGAGTCAACTTTTTAATATGAACCATCCATCGAAGCAGGCGTGTTCAAATCGACGTTTCTGTCAAAGTTCACGTCCGGGTCACCAATGTGGGGAGAGTAGCTATCTATGAAAAGGTTTCCCAATATAGTTAACATGTCTAGTGAATTGTATTTTTTGCAGTGGTAGATGATGATACAGTACTTTTAGTCGTCTAAAAATTTAATCATAATTTAGTTAATCGTTTGAATAAAAGACATTTTATTTAACGGATGTCGAGTTATGTAAAAGCATGTTTCTGATAGAATGGGATTATACATCAGATTGTGACATTTTTTTTTAGTTTGTTTTTTCAATAATTGATGCAAGTCGATACAATAACATACAAACGTGTGCATAGATTTGGAATTATATATTCATAAAATTCTTCTATATATATTTTATAATTAGTACTACGAATACGTAGTCAACATTTTTAAGCATCTTAAAATTTCTCAAATTCTTATCTATCGCATTAATTTTTGTTACCGGTTCATGCTTATTTCGAAGCACTATTTTATCAACTATTTCATTAAATTTTAATATTTTTAATAATCTTACTCTTTACGCTACCACGTGTATTATTTTTTCATTAATATTCTTATCAATTTTTTAAGCATCTTAATTTAGGTTTGCCTTTAAAGTAAATTCCTTTTTAAATTATTGTCAAGTTTCTGTTAAAAATAAAACTTATTGCCTGCTAGCTGTGAATTAAATCTTGTTTAGAAATTAAAAACATTTTGTGATGTTTAAAATTATTCGATGCAAAACAGCTGTCTTTTTACAAAGCATACTCGAAAAATTAATTATTGATTGTCTTTATTGTTTCTTGTGACTTCAACATAAATTATCTAAAATAGTGTTGATGTTTACACTACAATAAGGAGTATAAAAACATAAATAGCTGTTGAATACCTAGACAAAATTTTTAATCGTCTTAAAATATCTCAGCATATCTTAAATGTCGTCCTAATATCTTTGTTGTGAAATTAAATTTTTAATTACCTGACCACGCGTGATTCACAGAATTATTCAACTAATTTCTTTATATTTTTTACTCTTTCTTTATACTACCAGGTATACTAAACTAATTTGTTTAATTTTTATTGGTACTTAAAGTTTTTCTTAAAATTGAGTAATTGTTAATGGTAGTTATAAGTAATTGCTAAATTTTTTTTCGAGTCTTGGAACTATGTAGCCAGTTAGAGGGAATTTAAAAACATTTCTATGATAAAATGACTCAGTGCAAAACGGACTGATTGTGGTAAATAATTGCACCTTTCTCTTAAGGATTGAACAAAGAAATTATTTATTTTATTGTTTCTTAGTAAATACTTAATAGGGCAACTCAAAAAACTACAACTGTTAGCTTTGTTTTTTAAATAAACAAATTCTTACAACAATTTTGTTTTTGACTTTTAAACTTATATATTTCACCTTTAACTTTAAGAAAGTTGTTCTTTTAAAAAAAGATGTTTTAAAAGATAAAAATTTACTTTTGTTAAAATTATTTTTCAACTTAAGCACAATTCCCAATATATAGCATTATTAGGAAAATGCCTTATTTTGTTACAGCTGAAATATTAAAAATTGAAATTTGTAAAAAGATTCCGAAGCCGTGCCAATTTTAGAATCATCATCTTATTTGAAAAATGCAATCGAAATACGCAATTTTCGAACTTATTTTGATGAAGAAAAAAAAATACGCAACGAGGAGGTTACTATTTACAGAAACTGAATAATTACTATATTTCGTCTTAAGAGGATAAGAATGATATTGCTCCAAGAAACCTACTCAATAATTTTGTTATTTGGAGAATTGAAATCTGTTTGGACGAAACATATGAAAGCTGAAACGAGAATTTTTTTTTACTATTATTTATCTAAGCTTTTTCCATTATTTTAAGGATAGCGTTATCAAGTTTAAGGATATTCGATGGAAGCCCCGTTTACTATAAATACATTTAATCATATAGCTTGAATAATTTATTTTAACCAAATTATTTAATAATTTTAAACAAATAAGGGTGTGAAAATAAACTCAATCGAATTACGCCTAAAGTATACCCTAAAACATATATATAATAAACTTTGGAATCGATAAATAAAAAATACCTTTTCAAACAATTTCGAGTAGGACAGAAACGCTAAATTGTTTGAAAAAACTGTCCTTGTAACTATTTAATTTCAATTCCTGGTGCTAGGGAACATTTCACATTCAACTTTTTTTTATTTCATTTGTAAATAGAATTTTTTATGTCCTTAAAAAGTGTTATTAAGGCCAACAGTAAAAAGTAAAAATTTGTACTGCATGGATTTTTCAGAAGGTAGTGACTAGTTATTATTTTGTCAATCTAAGAACCTTTATCTTACGTAAAACTTATTTTAATATCTCGTGAAGTATAATATACTGTGTTACTAAATGAATTATCTCAAGAAACTGAATCTAAAAGATCAAAACTTCATTGATTAAAAAAAAAAATAATCGATGATCATAAAAATAGAAATTTTTTGAGCGTCCAATAGTTAACGTCAAACGTCATTCACGCCTGGAGAGTCTTGAGAATGGGCACCTATTTTTGAAAGCTCGAAACATGTCGACATCTATTTCTCTTTTCATATTTTTTGAAGGCAATGAAGTTTTTTCATCCATTATACTGTTTTATATTTGGGTCTTGATCCTTATTTTGATTAGGATTTTATGCTCGTAAAAGTAAACATATGCATTTTAAAAGGAATCGCGTGGTCCTTAAAAAAGTAACAGAACCGTAGCATCCATATTATAACTATAAAAGTTATCTTTAACTTTAAAATTTAAATTTTGAGACCAGATATTTTGAGCTGATGAAATTGAATGTTTTATCTTTTTATTTTTTGTGCCCCCATTTCAGCATCTTAAGGACCTTACGAACTTTGTTTAAAAAAAGAGTATTGTTTCAGATATTTCTAAGAAAACAAAGAAATCATAGCAGCGGTATTTGGCGATAGCCTATCGCAATTGAAGAATATGTTGTGCTATATCAAATTTGCGAATGTAAGTTTCAAAATGCAGCGAAACATCAGGTTGCTATTTGCAAATCATCTTTTTCCAACCAAAACCTAAATATTCGATAGAATGATTTTTCAAACCAATATAATAGTTCTTCTCAAATATAACATATTTCAATGTTTTTAAAATGTCACTTAACATTCCTTCAGTTATATAAAAAAAAGAAATATCGTAAATTATAGAAAACCTTGTGAATGTGCATTAGAATTACTATACGATCTACATTTTATATTTCAGGCACTTCTTTTTCAAACTTTCTTGCCTAGAAGACTCGATTAAAGCTGTAAAAATGATTATCCCTAAAATTTTGTATATAGTAATATCAAAATTATAAAACCATTTTTTTTAGAGAAGTTATTTTCTTGATTGAAATGTTGTCTGCGTAAACAGATTGTCGTTAACACTCACCTATTAGAATTTAATTTTTGTAATAACTGTAATTTTGATTTTAGTATGAAATCCTCGTATAAATATAGTAAAGACAACCCAAATAATGTCAGATTCATGTATTCAAATTCTAAAAGCTTAGAAAATGGTAAATTATAGTTTATAATAGTTCTTTTTCAAAGGAAATTTTAAAAAAAAAGAAAAATATCTTTGCTTTTTGGTTAGAAATCAGTTGAAAAATTGTGTATCGCTTAGAAACCTCGAGGTATTTTCTATTAATTATTAATAAATAATCCTCTCCGAGCAATCACAGAACATTATTTCAATTTTTTTTTTAATTCTCTGAACTGGATGGATTAGGTATTCCTCTATGAATTAGTCTATGGGTTATCTTAAAATATTCATTGCCACTTTCTTGGCTGTTTTTTTGAAACTACTGCCAAATTTATTAGCCCCCTCATTTTTTATCCAATCAATGAATATATATATATATATATTCATTGATTGGATAAAAAATGAGGGGGCTAATAAATTTGGCAGAAGCCGGAAACCGGAAAAAAAGCCGGAAAAAAAAAGATATAATCTTTTCTTCAGCCTACACGATTATATCCGCAAAACAGAGTGCTTTCTGATATTGTATCAATAAAGCCAAAGCAAAATATATTAATACAATAGTGTGAGGAGCACTCAAAAATTTTTTTTATAAAATAACTACAAAAAAATAGAATATAAAAAGTAAAAATAACATGTAAAATAAAAAGAAAAAACATTAAAAAAGGGGGACTATAAAGCGAGTAGCAAAATCATAACAACTTACATGGACGGATATTTTTCAAGAATGATTTAAAAATGTTTTCGCAGAAAGATTGCCAGATTACAAAATATGAAAACAAAAGATGAAAACAAAAGCGCAAATTGAGTGTAACANCAGACCATAATGCCTTGTTGAGGGCCGGTGTGGCGTGCAATAGTGAAGGCAGGATCCCCCCTCTGAGTCTCCAAACACGTCTTCGAAGATCGTGAGGACACAGTTGGAAGCGGGATTCGTCGCTAAAGACGTCCCCAGTCGGCATCATTCCAGCCATATCTGTTCAAAACATTCATGCATACGAAATTTCAAAGCAATCGGATGATGGCTTTTGTTATAGAATGTATTTATAAATTTATATACCTGAAATTATTTTATAATTTTTTCATCCTCTTTTCACATGATTTTTTTTCAAATTCCGATATTTTTGATTCACGATGACGTTCAAATATGAATGATCATTTTTTGACGTGATCCACTCCTGACGTTTCGTTATTTCACGTCACTGGATGATCTATCGGCATTTATTTATTATTTTTTTAATACTCTTTCGCATTACATGATTTTTTTTTAAATTCCAATATTTATAATAGCGTGTTATTAAGACAATTGGATCTGAATTCTCACTTTTTAATGAGTACTATTTGTGACAATTCTATCGTCATTTCACGTCGTTGGATAATAGTTTCTTTTCAGTTATTTTTTTTATTTATTCGGCCTATAGTAAGTGGTTTTTGAAATTCTGATATTTTTAATACCATATTATTACAGCTTTCGAATTTGAGGTACCACTTTTTGACACCTCATCACTATTTTCATCGCTTTTCGGTGATAGTTTTTTGTGATTTGGTTGTCATTTTTTTCACATGGTCTTTTAAAATCTGATACTTTTAATGTTACGACACGCGATTTTCGAATTTAAGTCATTACTTTTTAACGCGTTTGACCTGCAACAAATTCCGTCGTTTTCCGATTTTTTAAATTTTTTTTGCCAATTCCATTAACTTTTTTTCTAATTTTTTATTTCAAATGAATCCCCATTTTTTTTTAACACACTCAATTCGTAACGATTTTATTTTAAATCCAAATCACTTATGGATCATTTTTTTCAACAGTCGTTTCTCGGCTATTTTTAGCGTGGTTTTTCTTTAATTGCGATATCTTTAATACGATGCCAAAGAATTTCGTATATTAGTAATCACTCTTTTACGCACTTAATTCACGTCGATTGCACCGCATTAAATTCCGATCCATTGATCGGCAAATATTACAATAAATTTTCTCTTTGAAAAAAAAAATTCTTTTTAATAATAAAATTAAGAATTTTATTTATTTTGGGTTTCTCAAAAGCAATTACTTTATTGGGGGGTTTCAGTTTTTAGTGTTTTTTTTTAGAATCTGGAATGAACTCCGAAAAAGGTTTTAAAAAAGAATAATTATTACGGTTAAAAATAAAATTAATTAAATGGTACTCATCCATAAAGTAAAACAACGTGAATGAAGATGGACAAACTATGGTTTTCTAAAAAAGAACTTTCCTCCCTGTCTTAACACAAAATGGCAGTAGAAAAGTAACGAAACAAACACGTTGCTCTGAGGAAGATTTATGCCCCCCACTAAAGCTTTTTGTTCATTTTAGAAATGCGCCGAAAGTCTGTTGAATGAAGAGTATGGGATGTGTGTCAACCAGACCTGAACTGGAAGAAAATTCAAGAATATTCCGTGTAAGTTTCATTTCATTAATTATTAATTGTCGATCTAAGAGATTCTCTTTCACCTCTATAACAACCAGTGGCGTAATTTTGGGGGGCACCCTCCGGAATTATATAGATTAATGAATTATTGTACGGATGTAGGTATAAACAATTTTTTATTATTCATTTTTTTTTTTGTAATTTAGGCGTTTATTGTTGTTTTTGTCGGCCATTAAGGCAGAGGGGGCGTCATCTATGGTTAAGAATTAGACTTCTTCCACACTCATACGTTACACTCGTTTAAAGGACTGACTCATTTATGCATCCACAGATCGTCATTTTGAGGACGATCCATCGCCAATTCAGTACCCCAGAGGTATTGATTTGTTATGGGAACATGGAGGACTTTGTGACCCGTCAGATTTAACGAGCACCTGTCACCAGCTGGATTCGAACTCCCGTTCTCACAAACGTGAGTCCAGCTTCCTACCCACTAGGCTATCCCGGCCTATTTAAACGTTTAGAATATAGCATATACATTAGAAGGAGGTAACCGATTAAGCCCCCTCGAGCATGCATTAAAATTACGCCACTGTCTAAAACTAATTTAAAGTAAAGAAAAAGTGAATTGAGGCAAACGTAGATTAAGCCATGAAGTTTCAGTTGCGGAGAAGAAAGAAAAAAAAATATCACAAGGCAAACAAAATTTAGGAAAAGAACTTCTCCATTACGTATTCCTAAGTTGTCTTTTCATATTTTATTTTTATTTTGATATTTTGAAAATTTCTTTTCAGTATTTGAAAGTTCATGGCTTACTCTAATTTTTTCTGAACTTATTTTTTCCTTACTGTAAAAATTAGTTATGGAGAGAATTTGGGACTGATGATTTCAAAAATCAAAGGAGATCGCTGCGTTCTGCTTAGAAAACCAGAAATTTTTAAATTTTTAAAAGGAAAAAAAACGACGTTTCCTACTCACATACAAGACCAGAAAATCAAAGTTAACCTAGAAGTAGATATTTTCTTTAATTTTAAATCATTTTTGTAATATACTTCCAAAAATACAAATGAAATTCTTTTGACGATTTTGTTTTGGACTTACTCTCTCTTAGAAATACAGAAAACTATTTTGAGTTTCATGGGTGGTGAATGTGGAAACTTATCTTAGAAATACGGAAAACTATTTGAGTTTCATGGATGGTGAATGTGGAAACTTGTCTTAGAAATACGGAAAACTATTTTGAGTTTCATGGTTGGTGAATGTGGAAACTTATCTTAGAAATACGGAAAACTATTTGAGTTTCATGGTTGGGGAATGTGGAAACTTATTTTAGAAATACGGAAAACTATTTTGAGTTTCATTGGTGTTGAATGCGGAAACTTATCTTAGAAATACGGAAAACTATTTGAGTTTCATGGGTGGTGAATGTGGAAACTTATTTTAGAAATACGGAAAACTATTTTGAGTTTCATGGGTGTTGAATGCGGAAACTTATCTTAGAAATACGGAAAACTATTTGAGTTTCATGGGTGGTGAATGTGGAAACTTATTTTAGAAATACGGAAAACTATTTTGAGTTTCATGGGTGTTGAATGCGGAAACTTATCTTAGAAATACGGAAAACTATTTGAGTTTCATGGGTGGTGAATGTGGAAACTTTAATGACTCTCTTAGAAATACAGAATGTTTTTAAGTGGTTCATGTGAACACTTTCATTATTATCTTAGAAATGCTGAAATCTGTTTGAGTTTTAAAGGTGTTATCTTAAAAATACTGAACATGATTTGAATTTTATAGGTTGTGAATGTGGATACTTCTGGCCATCATTTGCGACGTGGTCGTCTGGAAATAACTGATTCTCAACTGATCTTTCATCAGAAGGGAGGAGGAGTGGTGATTCGTTGGCCCCTTACATGCCTTCGACGTTATGGTTTTGACTCGGAGATCTTCTCATTCGAATGTGGAAGGAGATGCGCCACTGGTTCAGGAGTCTATGGATTTAAGTGCAGACGTGCCGAAGCACTCTTTACCATGCTTCAAGAGTCCATCAACCATCCTCCACCCCAGACCACCGAGCAGCAGCAGCAGCCACCCATCACTTTGGTACCTGTATCATCGAACGGTGTCCTGCCCTCCTCTCCAACCGTCGATGAATCTGGTTATCTAGAACCCATCACCTCACGTCTCTCATCCAGACGAAATAACAATAACAGAACGGTTTCACCCGGTGGATATGTGAGCATCCACGAATCTCCGGTCAGTGAGTGGCCGTTGCCTCGTTGCTGTAGTCTAGGGGCTCATCACTATGTCAACAATGAGGTCATAGAACAGGAGTCTGCTGAGCAGCCAGAAGAAAGTACATACGTGAACAGTGCCGTGGTGAGTCCCCTCTGCCGCAATTCTGTTGACATCAACACGAATTACGCCAAATTAGACGATTTGTTGAAACAAGAGCAACATTTCTACGTGAACGTGAAACCAGATAGGACTAGTCCCCCCCACAAAGTGGTGGCGCCAACAGAACAACCGAATGAAGTCAACTACGCTGAGTTGGATTTGGATGCAACCGAATCGGGACAATCGAATCCAAACAGCCTGCATTCCCTCACCAGTTCTCCCGCTAAATCACCGGAGGGTTATGCTCAGATCGATTTCGATAAAACTGTTGCTCTCTCAAACTCTGCAAATCCTTATCCGTCTTTCAATGACGATAGCATGCGAAAAACTAGACATAATGCTGTGATACCGTCTCCATAGTTTTCACATTCAAAAATAAAATTTCTAATAATTAAATGTCTTCAAATAGGGTAGATTAGAAAAGTTTGTACTCAATCCTGTATTCCTCTGAAAATACTTATTTTCTTTATGGATGTACAAAATATTCATTCAACAAGTTTCATGTTGTAAAAAAATGTTATGCTTGTAGATACTAATGTGTTGAAAGTCATGGAATTATTTTATATCAGTTATTTGACACTCATATTTATTTCAGCATTCATACATTTGAAATATCAAACCGAATAAATTCAGTCCATACAATTGTCGTTCAAATTTTCCTTATGAATAAGGGGGGGGGAGACAAAGTTTTCGATGAATATGATTTTTCTTCAAGATATTTACAAAATGAAATAGCATGTAAACTTAATATTTTTTTTAACCTACATTGCATCTTATAAGGCATGCTTTTTTTACGAATTCTGACCTATAATTTCTATAAATGAAAAAAAATAAGCTTTATCACTGATGGGGTTTCTATCTACAACGAGCTTTGAATCACTTCAAATGACAAACTTAAAATTCAAATATATTTACATGATACAATTGAATGCCACGATTACACAATTATTATTTGAATACATTTACATTATATATTGAAATTCTATAATCATACAATTAAAATTTGAGTTATAAAATTGCATAAATACAGCTTTTCAGTCAATGTAATACATAGTTCAAAATGAAAAGCTTATTTCTTCTACTGTAAAGGAAGGAAATGAAATTATCATATTTTAAACAAAAAAATATTTACCTTATTAGATATTCAATTTAATAACATTTGTTATTAAACAGACATACTTTCTCTTATGAATGTTTTATCATTCGTATTAAACGTATATACCTCGAATTTGGATAAATTAGGCTTTCTCAACATGCAGCACAAAATATAAAACTGAATGTTTCGCTTTTTTCTTTTTAATATCTTATTTCTCCTTACTATGAGGGAATCCTAGAGCGAATTAAGATCCTTTCTTTATAGAAGAAATCTCTGTTTTGCCTTCCATTTTTATGTGCTCTGCTTTATTTTGTGTTTTAAAGCATGTGGCCATGTTTTCTTTTCATAATTATAATTATGGAGTGAAATTATAGACATCTTCTGGCTGGTATTTTCTTAATTTTTTATATTTTTCTTGTTGTAAGTGGGAACTTTAATACTTATATGGAATGAAAAGAAGAGTGTTAAAATTTCCACTCTGTTTAGCCTTCCAGTTTATGTGCTCTGCTCTATTTTGTGCTTCTAAGCATGGCCATGTTTCTTTTGAATAATTGTTATTACAGAGGGAATTTATAGGCATTTTCTGGTGGACATTTTTTTAATTTTTTGTTGTTGTTGTAAGGGAGAACTTTTATATCGAATGGAAAGAAGGGAGTTAAATTTTCTGTGCTCTGCTCTATTTTATGCTTTTAAGCGTGGCTACGCTTTCTTTTCATAATTATAATTATGGAGTGAATTTATAGACATCTTCTGGTGGACATTTTGTTAATATTTTATATATTTTTTTGTTGTAAAGGAAAATTTTAATATTTATATCGAATGAAAAGAAGGCATCAAATTTTTCATACTGCTTTGCTTTCCATTTTACGTGCTGTATGCTCTATTTTGTGCTTTTAAGCTTGATTATGTTTTCTTTGCAAACTTATAATTACGGAGTGAATTTATAGACATTTTCTGTTGGATATTTTGTTAATTGTTTTTAATGATTTTTCATTGTAATTGTGAACTTTAATATTTATATGGAATGAAAAGGAGAGCTTTAAATTTTCCACTCTGTTTAACCTTCCATTTTATGCGCTCTGCTCTATTTTGTGCTTTTAAGCATGGCCATGTTTTCCTTGAATAATTATTGTACACGTTTCTTTGCTTATTTCGGTATATCTGGAGAACTTTTTAAGCGAATTGAAAACATTTTGCCCACCATTATGAAATTCGCTTATCCCAAGATAATTCAATATAAAAATATGTTTTACTTAATATTTATTTTATTTAGTAGTAATCGAAAAAATTTTGAATTGTAAGGTATAAAATTTTTTGCATCATTATAAGGAATATAATGACAAAATTCAGAATTTGAGCTAAATCGACCCAATAGCTCCTGAGAAATCGATTTTTAAAAATACGACTTATTTAATATTCGATGTCTTGGGAACTATTCGACCGATTTTGCTCAAATTTTGTATTTTGCCATTCAAAAATACAACTTTTTATATAATGTAAAAAAAGTTTATACCTTCAAATTTTTTTCGATTATTATTCAATTAAATATTAAAAATTATAATGATTTGCTTATTTGGAATTATATATTATGGGTCCGAATCCATTGACAAAAAGGTATTTTATTAGACAGAGAAAGTACGTTTTTGTGTATGCAAATTGAAATATTGTCTGCACTAATTGATGTTTTCAATTACCATAGAAAAAAATATTTCAGTCACTTTTCTGAAAACTCATATGCAGTCAGCGTACTAACATCTAGTGAGGAAAAAAAAAATAGATTGTTCAAATAAAACTCTTTATTAGTGCCAAAAAAAATTACATTTTTGTGTTATAATAGTGACAAATACCATCTGAGCATTGACTAGAATGTCTTTGTTGCAAGATAATTAGCTCTTCAAGATACAGAATAAACATGGAATAAAGATAATTAGCTCTTCAAGATACAGAATAAACATGGAATAATCTCTGAACGTGACATATCTCTTCCCAAGTCAAATTTTTTGATGATTTTTGACCAACATATTCTCATGAACTATTATTTGATTTGATGGTAACCATCACCCCAATTCGGTCTGATTTATGATGGTCCAACCTAAGAAAACAAATTGTTTTAATGGTATATTCCTGCTGAACCAACAAGAATTCCCATCACAGAAATGTATAATCGGAACCATCATGAATGGTTGGTTCATGAAAATCGAATTATCTTGATGATTTTTCAATCATGGAACGATGGAAGTTTGTTGGCTTATTAAAACACCAAGTATGGAAAATGTTGGATGAATCGCACTGAAACCATCAAGAATTTTAACTTGGGATTTTTAGCCCTTCAGATATTAAAATGGCTTAATTCAAAAATAATTATAAAAATAGTTTTTGCTTAAAGAGATCACTGTATAGTTCTCAAAGTTCAGGCATGACGGGTTTTTGAAATGCAAACCAATTATTGACTAAGTTAACATTTGTTTACTCTAAAAACTTTACTTATGTCACACTTGACTCCTCACAATCGAAGAGATAGTGTACAAATTTTGTCTAATGGTCCTATTCTTCGTTATGAGAGACGATTGCTTAAATGAAATCAGTCATAATCGGACCCTTGTCCATTACTCAAATTCATTATTTAAATGAAAAAAAAATATTACCTTAAAAGTCACTTTAAATTCCTTGAACGTAATTAAAAAAAAACTTTTTAAAAAAACGTATTTCAAGTTTCATTTAATTAAAATGTTGAGTACTCAACAGCATTCATTAAAATGTATTAAAGTTTAGCTTCATTTTTGATGTCATTAGAGACAATAGTTTTTAAAAAGAATAATATTAGAAAAGGTAGTTATCTATTCTAGGTATTTGAGTAGAAATAACTAAAAAAATCCTCAAGTAAGATGTGTAGAAAAAGATGTAAAAAATAAAAAATTTTACTTTAAAATATATCATCTATTTAAAAATAAGATTTTATACTTTTGAAAATGCTTAATTGTTTTTTAGAAATTAGAATTCACTTTCAAAAACAGATAATGTTTATTTATTTATTTTAGTATCAGAATTTCTTCAAAAAGTTTTTAAAAAATGTGACGAAAGTTAAGAATTTTATTTAGAAATAAATACTGTTTTTAAATATAAGAATTATGTTTAAAAAATAAATAATCTAATTGAAATAAAGAATTTCATTAAAAAATTAACAAAAAATTTTTTAAATACAAAATAGTGTAGTGAAAAATAAATAACATTTTTTAAAAATGTATAATAATTTTAAAAAATGCATAATATTTATAAAAATAAGAACCACTTTAAAAATAACAATAAGGATAAAAATGTCCTTTTAAAAAAATGAAAGATGTTTTTGACATTAAGTATTTTCTTTAAAATCAAATAATGTTTTTAAAAAAAATATATTTTTTAAAATAAGAATTTCCTTTAAAAAAAAATTTTTTTTTAAATATATAATGTTTTAAAAATAAAAATTGAAAAAAGATTCCCTTTAAAATATTTTTTAAAATAAGATATGCTTATTAAAAAAATGCTTTTAAATCTAACAACTATTGTTTCAAAAATAAATATTGTTTTTTTAAAAAAAGTGTATAAATAATAATAAAAACTAATACTTTTTGAAAATATATTTTTGGTAGTTCTTCTGTTTGAAATATCCTAAGTGCATGAATCATTTTTTTCCCAAGAACTTTCACACAGTTTTAAGTTGAATGACTATTTTTCGACTGCCAAAGAAGTATAAAAAGAAAAAGAGAATTTAGAGAAAGTTTTTATGTTCGTTACTCAAAGTATCGTTTGCAATAATTTATTTGGCATATTCAAGATCTTCAAACGATTAAGATTGTACGTGATCATTAGGTCAAAAGTTATTGTTTCGTTTTACCATTCACAGAGCTATTCAGTGTCCGTTGCATGGGCTTTCGAAACTCTTTCGTCAAGGAAAGTCAAAAAGCTTTACACTGTATATGACATCTTGATGTTAAAAATTATCGTTATAATGAACGAATCATTATGATGAAGGACTCAGTCCCATTTTTTGGCAACTTTTTTTTAGCCCAGATAATAGAGCATTGGAGTAAGTTGTCCAATATTAAAAAACCAGATCATAAACGCTTTTCTGTCTCCCTATTTGCATCATTTTCAGAACATAGAGGGCGCTGGCTAAAACGAAGAGTCATGAGTTGCAGTGATGTGCTAAAAATCCTCATTGCACTCTCGAAAAATGTGTTGTAGGCAAAGGTTTGGTCTCCAGAACTGTCTGTAGATGTCTGATGTATGAAATGGCTTGTCGTAGTGTTTCCACTTTGCTTTGACGCCTTTTAATCCGCGGGAGGAGATGACGTAGGCGTGAAAATCCTTCATTAACGCAGCGCACTCTTTGCCTCTCCCGTTCGTTGCGTCTATTCATAAAGTTTGTTTCTAGCCATAGAGCATTTTCGATCAAGTTTTCCTGCAATGAATCTTTTGGCGAATTCTGCTGGGCCCCGAAGCTTTCTTGAATGCTGTAATGGAGCATAGATGAAACATCCAACTTCTCATAATGTACCTGAAAATT